GTGTAGGTCGCTATTGCAGCAGGAAGCGAGACACAGTAAAAAAAAAGGCACAAAAGCCGTGTACATAGCTGTGCGTCTCATTCGGCCGTTCTCCGATGACAATTCACGTATGTGTAACTGTTTCGCATCGCATAAGGTGCGCGAGTGCAGCGGAAAAATAGAATGCTTTTTAACGCGTTGAATGTTTTTAATAGCCAGAAAAATACGAAACGCAGAGCTGATTTTCACATAAATCCTGGCGATGCAGTGCAGCAACTTCGAATTACTTTGCTGTCTGCTTTATATCTCGCCTGCAAGATTGCGTCTATTTTCTGTCAGTGGAAAAGTTTTCCATTTCTGCATATTGATGTTTTTACATTTATCTCTTTTCGGAATTTTGCATTTTCACACTTTTCGCATGTGCCTTTTTGCATTCGTAAAGTATATAGAAAATTATTATTAGCATTATCAGCATTGCTAAAACTAATCTAGTTGCGCGAGGCTGAGAGAATATTTTTAGCGAGGCTAAGAAATAATTTTGTTCATGTACTTTTTCCACGCTTTGAAATTTTATAAAGAGCTTCTCTATACAACTTTAACTAAAGTTACATTTGGGAACGACGAGTAAACGTGGTACGCAGTCACGTAGAATAAAACTTTTTATATCGTCCGCACTCTGGATCGAGCAAGCACTCGCTATCGTGGAACCGCGTGTACCGCATTACAGACGCCGCATTACCACGCTTGATCCCAGTGTGTGGCCTCTGCGAGCTCGATATGTGTTCCGAGAGCGATACACTACTTTAACATCAAGCTCAGCCGTTCTCAAGCACGGCGCTGTACACGCGTGTACGCGTGTGCGTTGATCAGTGGCGTAATGATTCGTTCTGCGACCGCTCGTGGAGAACGTCGAAGGAGTGGCACGTGAATCAGACGGGGATCTCAGAGCTAATAATATCGGGAGATTAATGGAGCCATTCGCGGAACCGATGTTTTTTTAGCTTGCTAATTTGCTAGGACAGCCCTCGAGCTGCCGTACGAAATTATTTTTCAAGCACTCTCTTTGCATTCCCTACACGTGAATAATTTAAATCAAATCTAAAAATTTGAAGATGTGAAATTTATTTAACGTTAGCTTCGGAATAAATTCTATTTTTCTATTGCATACAAATTCAATCTTTTTTTATCTCAAACTTATATATTTTATTCTGGAAAATATTATTAATAAAATCAATGTAGAAAAATCCATTTTAATGAATAGTATGGCAACGTGAAATTCGCTTTTGAAGAGAAAAAAGCAAATATATTGGAAACACTATCCAAAGTTCAGTTCTTTGGCTATCCAGAGACATGCAAAAAGTGACAAGAACAAAGTGATTCTTGTGAAAATTGGCTGACTCTGCTATAGCGTCGAATCGGGTTGCAACTTCTCCCTCTGCATACGCCATTGGCAGCACCGGTATATGCATATAGGTGCACTTCGGAGCACTTCGATATTGCATTTTAGTCAAGGAAGGGGTGAGCGTTCGCGTTACGTCAAGCTGTGTTGTGTCTCGCGTTAATAGCGAAACGCGACTTTGTTGCGCGCCGGCGAGCTGAGCGAGGAAGACGAGCAGAACATGCAACTTCGGTTCGATACGTTGTCATGCATCGATTTACACGATATTGCATTTTCGTGTATGACATGAAATTTGATTGAAGTTCATGCTATATTAATCATTTTTCAGAAATGGCATACCGTTATTGCAACGCCAATATTTGCGTAATCGAGAAAGATATGAGATTGTGGAAAAATTTTTTGGTTTATCTGATTTTGCATGGATTACGTCACGTATATGAATTGTGTAAATAAATGGAAACGTTCAATAAAATATTAAAATCTTTCAATTCGCAGATCGACATCCCTCCGAATGGATGTTACACAAGAGGATATTCCGAAAAGGATAAAACGACCTGTATACGGCGCGCGTATGTACTTACGTAAGTATCGTGGCTTGCGCGTCCGATATTAAGTATTCCACTGGCATTACCTTCCCCTGAACAGAAAGTTACATACTACTCCGTCTTATACGCGATGGTAGTGCTGTGCAAACTTAATTAGCGACTCCACCGTCGCAGACGTCGCGAAGAAAGACGAGAAAACTCGGCGCCGCGCACGAAGAATCTCTGCTCAGAAAATTGCTCGTTCGTTTTCCGAGGACCACGAGCCAGTGATCTTTAAATCATACTGCCGAGGATAGGAGTTCAGCGGCTCTTTAACGCGACAAGAGTTTGCGCGATAATTATGGCTGAGCCTGCAAAATTGGGTTGCGTTTCAATGCCGCTAATGCACCTAGTGCAAGCGGTACTTCATCATCGGTTTTCGAAAATTTGCGTGGTATAAATAGATTAACTAAAATTCGATGGCCGATCCATAAGTCATTAAACTAGAAAAGACCTTTCGAGTCCATTAACTTTAGTGCCAGTTAACCGGACTAACGTAGCAGAAGGCTTTGGAAAACTTTAAGTCAACTTTCACACAAATTACGTGAACCGTTTACTATATTAACTATATTGACTATATTGAACTGTTCACTATATTATTTATATATATTTCTTTTTTCTCTACTACTCTGCTTCTGAATTTTATAAGCAACTTTAATGAGCAGTTTCTTTTATTAAAATTATCTTAATATATCATTAACTCTTATTTTCAGTAATTTAGCAGGTTTAAACGTGACATTATTTCGTTACGCTAAAAATCTTGTTTTGAATACTATATTTATGCTCTGTTCAAAAAACTATTCTATCGGTATAGCTTCATATTATAGATGGAAAAGAATTATTACGACACTGACTTTATGAGTGCTTGTCATAAAGAGCACCGTATGTTGTACCAGGACGAGATGCAAACGTGTTCTCCGTTTATACCCTTCTTGTAACACAGTCATGTATCGGAGTATTGCGTCTTAAACGATAAAGCGCCTGATTTTATTATTGATTATCAGGACATATGTTTTTATTGCTGGGAGTAAAAAGATATGCAAGGCACAATAAGCATATTTCATTCTTAACATTTTTGTAGCAAGCGAAAACTATCTTGTTGCGATAATCCGCAGAATATTCTCTAAAGTCGCAACATTTTCTGTAAACTGCGAGATTTTCTTATGATGAAAATAATATTATCCAAATAACGTAAAGAGAAATGTTAGCTTAATCAAAGACTCTGTAGACAAAAGCAATAAACGGTAACGCTGTGTGCGCTCATCCCCGCATACCTTAACTATCTGACAAACCCCCATTCGGCGCGCTTAACTTGCGAAACCGGGAGTGCATATAGATGCACCTGCGCGCTATGCTGTCGGAACACAAAGGGCCAACTTCCTCCGACGTAATCCCCGCGGAAGTTGTGCCGTAAACGCGCGGCATAACCGGAACCGAATCGATGCTCGGCGACCTCGAAACCGCGTAGACATCGCGGAGACTCCAGGCGGTCGCAGATGCTGCAGCCGCGGTTGCTATTCGACATGGATTGTTGTTGGTCCCTTCGGGCCGGTTGTCGGTAGGGCCGCTCTCCGGGCTCTCTTCGTAGTGCCGGCTGGCATTTTCTGTCAGTCGTCGGCAGACCGCGGAGCCAACTGGTCGATGGGGACCGTCTCGTGCGTAAAAAATACACGCTCTTTCTGTTTACCGAATGCGCACGCGTTGTTCTCAATTCGATTTTTCATTCGATCGGTTATGTCAATATCGAATTGACGTGTCCCGCATGTACAATATTGATCGCTGATCAATTAATCAAGCTAAAGAAAAAGTTGATAAAGATAAAAAAAAAATAGAGACGGAAGAAAAGTATTTTCTAGTGGACGATGAAGATCGGTGACGAGCTTATCGGTGTAAACACGTAGAATTAATTGTTGGATCGCATTCCGCGACGGGAGGGTGCCACTGACCCAGGGTGGGCCTCGATAGGAGATCGTGAGGCCCCTATATCGTAATACGGGATCGAGCCGTAAATAATGGCAACCGGCACGCGATACGACACACGACTTTCGTGTACCGTAACAATCAGGATGTAGCAGCAAACCGCGCACATCTCATACGATGTGATGCATGAGAGAAGAGTAAAAAGAAGGAATACAGAGAGATTCCAGCATTTTTTAATCAAATCCTATTCTTCGTAAAAGTGCCTGCTTTTTATCGGACAAATTTTTGACTCCGCTGCGTCTTCGAAGAGGACAATTTATCTTTGTAATATCTTCGTGACACAACGGCGTGCATTACTGCTCAAAGCGCGTATATTCATTAATTATTGATTTGGTGATGGTGTATTTTTAGTGCAACGAAAAAGTCTAAGACGAAATATTGCGAGTCACGACACTGGCAACGAGAGTGAGCTAAATTTTTTACGACAAATTTGCCGTAAGTTTTCGGGCCATAATGAAAAACTAAAACGACCTTTCGACGCAATATTACGCGGCAAGAAAACTAGACCCTGTCTTATATCGTGATCGATGAGAATGGAAGACTATCTGAATTTCACAGGATGTTCGTTTGACTTAACTCTGTTGTGAGATAAGAATTGATAGTGTTGTGTGCTCGTGTAACGTAATACGATAATGTAATAAGTCTTTACGACACATACATAATAACTGTAGATAGATGATAAAGACGTTATGAATATTTCATAACAAAAATCAGAGCACGATTTGTATTTGGATGAAAAGTGGAAGACTTTCATGAGACTGACTGTAATTTGACTATTGTAATTTAACACATTTTAAATATCTAGATTTTCGATATTTTTTATAATATATAATAATTTTACGTAGTAAAGCATCTTTTTCAATTTCGCGGCGTGGCTCACAGAGTATCAATTTGTATTTGCTGCACTTTTCGAAATACAATGCATAACGCATCGCGAGACTAAAGGATCGATCGAACGCAGTGTATTCATCTTCACTGTTTTCCACAATAACGCGAACCGGGATCTAGTCCCGAGTGCGCTGACAAGGCGCGTATAAAATCGACGATAGCGAACTGGACAGCCGCCAGTCTTGCGAGAGCCGCGCGCGAGAGCGGACGTCGCTCGTTTCACGCCGATGCGGTGCCACGTGAGGGAAAAGCCAGGAGGAAAACACGTTCGCGCGCAGCTCCAAAATAATATTTTCTTCCCGTTTCTTCCCTCCCGTTGTGGACTCACGCCATCGTGTTGAATGACAGAAATGGATTGCACCGGAAATGCGACGGAATCAAATGGGCAAAATCGGTTTTCGGAATACGTGAGATGTGTTTAATGATCGCAATCTTTCGTCGAATTTAATTCTGTCATATTGATACGAAAAACCGACGTGTGATTTTTTCGCGGATTCTCAACGCAAGACAAAACAAAAAAAATTGAAAAATTGATACAACAAACGAACTAAAATTACAAACCGAAAGTTTTGACGAGTGCGACTCTATTTGTTACTTTGTTAATGAACAACGTTGTAATAATAGAAAACGAAAATTAACGTTTCACTTACGCAGTAGAAATAAATAGGACTCCATTAATCAAGAAAAATGCAACAGGAAATGATTACAAATATATCTGCGTGAACTATAACAAACATTTCAATTCATTCATGAAAAGAAGATCGAATAACGAAGCAGTTGTAAAATTGAATATTTTCATCGAGTGAATTGTACGGTAGCCGTATTCATTGCATTGCTGATTGCATTTACTAGAATGTTAATTGTGATCACACTCGTATCAAATTATCGTTGTTCTACGGAATGAAACGAAATTGAACGCTTTTAAACAGAGCTCGAAAACAAAGCTGGAAGAAAGGCGGAAAGTTATTCAAGACATCTCTGCTGAAGCTTTTAGTATCTCGCACGAGGATATTCCGCGGATATTCTCAAAAGGTTTACGCCGACAGACCCTGAAGATTTCACGAAGGTGTGAACACGGCCATTATGAAATCCTCGAGGAGATCGAGCGTTTAGAGTTACCGTGTAGATAAAACTTCCACTACGCCCGGAACGATACCAATTCTTTACAAGCGTTCCGGAAGGATCTTCACAATTTCACTCACGCGCACTTATTCCGCCTAAAGTTTCGTGCCCCGCGGCGACTTTCGTGAAAATGCGAAAACCAGAGTCGCGGAGATCCTGTTCGCGAACAACTTGAAAAAGTATTCCATGAAGTAAAGATTCATTCCGCCGAGAAAATAAAAATCACATTGGCGAAGATATCCTCTTCAGAACTCGCTAAAGAGAAAAATTTCCGTAAATTGTGTAAGATTCATCTCCAGGATCTCTGAATCATTATCGAGGAAGTTATCCGCGTAGAACGTCAAAGAGAATATCAAGAGTGCACGTTAAATTATTATAAAGTTCTTAGAGTCCTGAGGGTACAGTTCTGAATTTCCCGGTTTCTCGTCGAAAACCGTATGTGACTGATTTATTAAAAAAAAATCTGCGATCGTAAGATCTTCAAACTAGAAGCAGTCATCGTTGGTTACGCAATGTACCAAACACTAAAAAGCCTCAAGAAGACGAGCGAAAAGTCCTGGGAATAAACAGTGAAAAAGAAAGACGGAAGGCAAAGGAGAATCGCGAACACGAAGCAGGAAGAGAAGAAGGAATTGCGAATAACAGGCAGATACGAGGAAACGCTCCAGGAATGCCGTGGATAAAGTGTTTGGGCGGCGGAGGCGGAAAGGCCAGGCGGGGCAAGCCACTCAGCGTCAGTCAACCGATTCACCTGCTTGTCAAGGTAAGATTCTCCTCGAAAGATTTTCCGTACGACTTTCTCGCGGCGAACCTCGTGGCGAACCGAATGAGAATTCAATATATTTGAGTTATTTCTTTGACAGGATTTTGCAGAGCACAATTCTTTCCGCCGGCTTTTTTAAAAGAATTTCTTCAAATTTCGAGGCAAAAAAATATAATATATTGAAATTTTAGTAAAGATTAAAATAACAAAATCGAAAAAATATTCCAAAATATATCCAAAAATTGAAAGAATATAAAAAAATTGCAGTCGTGTAAATAAAATAAAAATAATATGCATTATATATAAAAACGGATTGTACATTTTTACAATATAAACTTTTTAATATGCGTTGTTCATATGCTCGTTGAAAACATATAATTCAATTTATAATGAGGCTGGGAATAAAAACTGTGATGTTACTTGGCTTATCTAAGACGATGGCACATGGCCCTACCGCCTTGAGGTTATCAGTTTTTTCAACAAGCGACTTGAATCAAACGGGAAGGTATTCTGGTTCGTGCTTTATTGGTACTTCATGATTACGATGTATAGGCGGAACGTGAAGTGCTCCTCTTATGCTCGTGGAAAATTTAGCTCGCTTGATTGGCTTATAAAATGACGCTCGGTATTCAAGTAACGATCGTTCCCGAGTAATTAAGTAATTGCAATTAAGAGAGGAAATAGCCTCGCAATGTTCCGAATGAGTTATGATAATTGGAACTGGATTAGAATTTTGCGGTTTCGTCTGAAGATCGTAGTTGATAATCACTCTCGTAAATACAAGCTTAGCATTAGATTTGATCTCAATTTTTATGATGCATGCAAATATATGATTATTAAATACAAATTTTTAATTAGATTTTAATATTGAAACAAAAGAAATTTTATTCAACGTTTCGGTTTAATCTTTCCCAAAATTGTATTGTCTCTTATATTATACATCGTTATGTTTCTGAGTGAACACATCTCAAAAAGGTCAAATCATTTTTGGAATTGCAGTATTTGTTCGCCAACGCTAATTGTCAATTAGCGCCGCCCATTTCTTTCCTCGTAATACTTAGCTACTCTTCTCACAAATATTAGGTTCGATAAAGTCAATAAAGTAGAATTAAACAGAGATATTTATAGCTGTAATAAGTAATACGAAAAGAAAAAGTAAATGAGAGAAACTATGTCGATGTAAAGAACGTAGGAGGATTTCCGTTTAAAACGACGGTTATTAGGCAGTTCTTTCGTCCCGGGATGCCGTAAGATCGAGAGATAGAAAATCTCGGGGACGTCGCGGTGGTCAACATCTCTCTTCCCCGTCGGCTAACTGATTTATTAATTCTCCACGACGGCCTTTTCCTCGGTTCCGGGCTCCTTTCGACGGACGCCCCGCGGGTACCGCCATCGATTCGACGATATCTCGGGCACGACTCGGCAATTAAGCTGGTAATAACAGACGCGGTGTTAGCCACTTGTTAAAATTACAACAAGCTGCACGCTAAAACTGTTTTTGTACCATATCATTGCGATATTGTTTCGCAATCGTTATAAAAGCGCGTTTGCAATACCGAGAACGCTCGTTCTGAAGAAGTATTTGCAAATTATTCATTTGCAAATCGAATATTCGCTGCACGAATTTAATGTGTTCCGTGATATAACGAGAATTGAAACATCTGATTTAAGCTGATACTCTCTGTAAAATACATTTGCAGTATGAAGCTTAATTCGCAGCGTGCGATAGGGATGTAGGGAATTTCCAATAATAATAATTATAATTACGTTGGGACAAATTGTTATAATTAATTGTTAATCTGTAAGAATTAATTTCAACAATTGTAGTTGGAAAATAATTAAATACGTTACATTATTGCAGCACTATGCTATGAAATACCGAAATATGGAGACAACGTTTTTTTCCACGAGCGATGAGATAAAATTACAACCCAGGAAGCAAAAAATACTATCTAGGTGGCACAGCATTCGTGCGAAGAGCTCGTGTTTCAGGTTTCTGGTCTCTGCATACCATATGTATCGGACAAGCTGTCTCAACAGCCTGTGCACTATCAAAGTACGTCATTAGGATACACCGGCGTGTTGAAAAAGACATTAATTGACGAATTGTACATTTCGAGTGGAATGATCCTTGCGGATAAATCATGAAGCCGCGCGGTAACGACGGGAAATAAATTCACGCGCAATTCGTTACGTGATCAATTCACGTCATTCGCTTCCGTATTTGCATGCGGTTCGCGGCGGCGCCGTTACAATGAAACGTGCGTACACAAGTTGCAAAAATAAACGCACCGGTAATCGAGTGCCGGGATCGCTCATTACGAAAGCGCGGAATGGTAGAAGTTTTCAGCGTTTCATTTTAATCAATTACGACTCCACTGAATTTAATAGGAAGAGTAGAGAATTCAATTTCGACGAAATGTAAATGCAGAATTTATTATTCGATTCGACATCTCGATTTGAATAACGCTAATCACGAGCGGAAATACGTCGAGTAAGACCGCCGGTAAGTAAAAAGAAAAAATGACAAGCATTAAGAGACCAATAATTAAATAATACTAAGCCACCCACGACGGCACACCGCAGGATTTCTATTAAAGCGGCACTTTAAACACGATGCGATAGTCCTCGGCACGATTATAACAGGAGCGCCAGTTCTATCCACGTAAAACGACGTAAATACATGAAACGCAAATTATCTATGTATATATGCGTATTAATATTCGCGCGCGTATGTATGCGATAGAAGTCAGTAGCAATGAAATCTCATTCGTTCGCAAAGCCAATGTTTATTATATAATTTAATATCTTCTCCAATCTTTTTAATATATTGAATTAATAATTATTTTCGCAAATTAAAAATATTATAGCATTATTTTTTATGATACTTGATTTTCAAGTAATAAAAAAATGATTATAAAATATACAAAGCTTTAGATAAATTCCGTGCTAATGCAGAGATTTTATCTCTAAGCACGTAATTCTCGGTTGATATAGAGACACTCGATAGAGGAGTGAAGAATCTTGCGACCAGTCTATGAAGCAAGATCGTACGAGAGATATACACACGACGAGAAAATGTTTTTCCTGACGCATGTATCCGCCGGTGCTTTAAAGTCCGGTCCGACCACCGCGGCTTTCCATCGGCGACGCGTCGGCGTTCGGAACGCTCATACATGAGAGAGCCGCTCTCTGTTATTATAACCGTACTATTATCGATACGGACGCGCGGTGGTACACCTGCGCGCGCGTACGAAATACCGCCCACCGTCGTGCGCGCTCCTTCGCGATGTAAAGACCGGCAATTAAATTAGCGGACCCTCTGGGTACGGCCGATTTTTCCACCGCCTACGCGGCAATTTGTTCCCTCCGTGGAAAGTTGGTGTTTCTCTCACGCAGGATGATATTTGCTCGTGTGACCGATCAAGATGTGATTACGTCGGAATTAAGGTGGTGCGCATATTTATTACACATATAGCTCTCAGTTTAAGAGAATAGTATAAAGATATAAGGAATAGTAGATACCGCAATTATGATAATTGCGGCTTAATTCGGAAGTAATCAGATGTTTCCCTGCTATTTTTTATTATAACTTCACGCGCAAAATATATTATAATAATTAAATATCACATCATTAACGCGTACAAAAATATTAGTAAAGTAAGTTTTTCGATAGATGAATCTTTTAGCTTCTAAATGCACATCGATGTAGTTGAAAAAATTTTCTGTCGTGTTAATTTTGTACACTCTCTAACAATAAGTTTCGAAGCGTCAGCAAGCGAGCGATGCAATATCTTTCGCGCGAAAGGTTGGATGTCTTCGCACGTTGTCGGTTCTACCTACGCGCGTGAACTCACTCGGCTCACGGTACGTTTACTTCGGGCTTTGCTCAATACCTTACGCTGTTTGCTCTTCGCATACGTATTTTTCTTACACCTCGTGGGCGCTGTCATAATATTGCCTTACTACGTAGCTTTTCCAATTCCCAAAACACGAACACACAATGGAAGCATCTCTCTTCACGGATATCGGATAAACCAAATCTTTGGGCGAGCCGGTTCGTATGAAAATCTATAGCAGGTGCACGTATATAATGCGTAATTGATAGCTTCGCGCGTATACGCCGGGTCGATGATCCAGGGATCGCGATGATTACGTGAATTTCCTAATCCTCTACGCGAATTGCAAGCCTGCGGGCTTGCAAAATCGTGAGCGTGCCTGCTAACCTTTCGACGAAGATTATCATGTCTGCTGTGTTTTCAGAAATTGTTTGGTCGTAATATGCAGTTATGAGAGGTTTCAATAGATGCAATATTGTGCAGAGTATAGAAATCAACCGCGCAAAATATGAATCTACCGATTCGGGTATAAATTTGTTATTTTGATAATGTAATCTCGCATAATGTGCAATTCAACCTGCGGAAGTGATGCCAATTTGTTTAAAGATTTGTTTACTATAATTTCTACTTAATTTTCTTTTCCCAATGTATTTGAAATACTCAATTTGTGTTGAGAATTGCGATTAAAAGTTGCGATGTTTCGTTTTATTATTATCAAGGCTCAAACCGCAAACTCTTCGACGTAGAACGACTTCTTTTTTTCAATAATTGATGCTAATCACGGTAAAATCCGGAATGAGTCGTTCTAACGAGATTAGAACGAGTGAGTCAATTACGCAGCGGCTTCACCCTTGTCTTATTTTTGACACCAAGGACGTCTATCGCAAAGACAAGGACTCCTTCATTCCCGAATATAAATGTTAAAAATAACGACTGTTTTTGTTCTCTTGTCTGTCTGCATAGCGACATCGTGGAGCAATCTCGTCGCGCTTATTTTTGTAGCACTCAAAATTGCGGAGACGACTCAACGCAATGATATTACACATAAAGCACTCCGCAAGAATTTTGAAAAATGTACTTATTAATTTATATTAAAATTTTTTTTCTTTTTAAATTATTTTACAAAGATATTAAATGTGTCACCACATGTTATGTAATAAA